CTCGGAGATACTTGTCTGGTAGGAGACCAGGTTCGAGCCAGGCCTGAAGCAGTGCCCGTCTTGGACGACGTTCGGGCCATCCGTGGAAAGCTGCCCGATACCGCAACACGGGATTGTGAATGTGGCTTGGTTCTCCGAGTCGGCTTTTGAAGTAACTCGGGTACCTGAAAATGATTTTCGTGGGGCGAATGGGATGTGTGTCGCTGTTAGCACTTTCTCTATTAACAGTCTGCCGACGACGTCTATGCGGTGGCTGGTACTGCTATGCGTTGTGCTGGCTCTTGCTTCCATTCATGCGAGGCTTTCGAGACGTGCAGACGCGGCCGGGCATGCAAGCACTCAAGGCTTTCTGGAAATCTCATCTTACCATGTCCAGGAGGAGACACAAAAACGTCAGCCGGAACAGTTTGAATAGGAACATGAGAATAAGTGTGAGAATGTGCTGCGAAGTCCATGAGAAATCTAATTTTGAGCAAAGAATTCAATCAGTTCATTTTGCGAAACCTATCCCAACGGGCCCATAGATCTAAGTAGGAAGTCGTAGTTAAATCTAGCAGACCTTGAATCGGTCCGTCCAGTAACTACAACGAAGGAACTGAGTAGATCATACATCACGACAATGCAGAACAAATCATCGTATCCCATATTTCATCTTATTAATAGGGTCATTACCAATGACTCATAATCGTATCTCTCCTCAGGGGTGTTATGTACAGAACAGCAAGCTATTACAACAAGGCCATTCCATTATGGCCAAACGGTTTTCAAACGCCTCAGTTTCAGTTGCTTAAAAACCAAACAAGTCGCTTAGAGGGCAATGGCAGCGAGGCCGAGCATGGCGGCAACACCCATGAAGCCGAGGGAGGCGGCGCCGTCAACCTCGACGGTGGTGGGCTCGGGAATGGTCTGGATATGGCTGGTCAATGAAACATTCGCAGATGAAGGGCTGTACAGAAAACTTACGTTGTTGCCAGAGGGAGTGGCGACGGCGGAGGGAACAACAGAGGCGACAGCGGACTCGGAAACCACTGGGGCGGCCTCGGAGACGGTGGGGACGGGGTACTGAGACTCGGGGGTAGTCTCGCCCTCGGAGGCGGGAGATGAGGGCTCAGGAGCGGGGACGGCGGCGGTGGTCTCGGCGGCGGCGGCAGTGGTCTCCTCCTCAGCGGCGGCGGTGGTGGGCGCGGCAGCAGCGGTGGTGGTGACGGGAGCAGCAGTGGGCTCAGCGGCAGGGGTGGTCTCGGTCTCGCCGCCGGAGGAGGGGGAGCCAGGCTCGGCGGTGAGGCCGCAGGCGGTGGCGCCGGCCTGGACACCCTCGCTGTAGAACTGCCAGATGGGGAAGTCCTGGACGCAGTCCAAGCACTCGTCGAGGCGGGTACGCCAAGCGGTGGAAGAGCAGTGCGCCGTGCCGCTCTCGGACTCGATGATGGTGTTGCCTGGATCATGTCAGTTTCCGGAATGACCAGTGCCTGTGAGAGGTTCAGGCGTAGACATACCGCAGGCGGAGTGGCAGGCAAACTGCTCGCTGGAGACCTGGCGCTTCTGGAAGGGAGTGAACTCGCTGATCTCGAAGCTGCGGCGAGCGAGGGTGGGCGAGGCAGTGGCAGGCAGAGCCAGGGCCAGAGCGGCACCGACGGAGAAGATACGGGTGGCAACCATGTTGATAGATCCGGGGGTGTGTTGGAAAGTCTGACGTGGGGGTTGGACTGCGGCTTGAGAAGCTTGTAGTAACCAAGAGTGGAACGAGTGACCTATGAGCAAGAGACGAACGACGAGGAGACTTGCGAAGATGGCTGGATAAGATTGGCTGGAGGAAGGGAAGAGAGAGTCGGGTGATGGAGGGACGAAGGCGAGAAGGTTCAGCGTCTTATACCTTAGCTTCTCTTGTACCCAGCAATGTTTACGTTGCATCCGTCAGGGCCAGGAGACGATGAGCTGCAAGGTTCCTGGCTACGCATCGTCCTAATCTCCCTTCCGGCGCGCCAAGTAAGGCCAGGCGAGAAGACTGGATTCTTGGTGGCTGAGTCGGGCGATTCGGACCAGCAGGCCATAGTCTAGCAGCGATGGCTCGCGTGGCGACAAAATGGGGCAAATGGACGGACACATGGTCCTTGCAGAGCGGCAAGCGGGGCAGAGAACTAGAATAAAGAGAGTCAGAAAGCGTGCCAGAACATGATCAACTCGCTCGCGCGCGAACACATGCCGTCGCACAATTTCCGACCTCGCATGGTGCTCCGCCCAGTCGGATACCGGTGGTAACTGGCAAGACGTGGCGGGCGCGCTTAGGCCGATATCGCCGATCCGGCACACGATGGACGAACCCGAGAGACAGGGAGTGCAGTGGAGTGTGGGACGACGAGGATAAGCTGTGACTCAAATCCTTTCCCCATGACGAGAGAGAAAGAGAGAGAGAGAGAGAACGTGTGTGAGAGATTCGGAGTAAAAGCTGGGCTGGCCGATGATGGAAGAACCCTGATCCTGACAGGGACAGCCGCTGTCGTGAAAGGAAGGGAAAAAAATGGCAAGTCGACACGCGCCTAGTGCAACCCAAAACCGGGCATGAGAACTATCGAAGAAACTGCGCGCCGCAGCCGGATACGACGAGAAGAGGGGATGACAGCTGAAATGGGCAGTCAAGTGCGATGTGTGGGAAGGGCAGACAGAAGCAGACGAGGAGCTAGGGAGGACCGAGGAGCACCAGGTGGATGAGTCGGACAGCATTTTCGACGAGTTATCTGTGCAGCCAAGACGAGCTAGAGCCGTGGCTGATCGCATTGTCCAATCAGACACAAAGAGATCATCTAATCAGATGATCTGATATGGCGCCATTGGAATTATGGTGGATATGCCTCGATGGCTTCATTGGCCAGTGTCACCATCTGATAACTTTTCTCAGAGGGGCCAGTGGAGCCCAAGGATCCGGTGGAGACGTGTGGGACTAACGGGGGTATTCTGCCCATGGGGGCCACCGTCCAGACGAGGGCCAAGAGACGAGGACGGGGCCGGGAAACGGACGGGGGCCTGGACATGGACGTGGGCCTGGACAAGGACGAGTTGGTATGGCCTGAGCGAATAACAGCTCGTTGCGGTGGCGAAATAGGGTGTGTGCCAGGCCGCTGGTCAGTCTTGGCTGTAAGAGTCTGCTCGTCGGCTGCTCGCGACATGCTAGGCCGTGGCCTGGGCACCCTGCCTTCTGCCGGTAGCAGCACGGTTGGATCGGTGGTTTGTCGGCAACTGAGAGGCGAGGGGGGCGGGGTTTGAGCATGTGTATGGTAGGTGAGGGTACCTTGGCTTACCTGGGTAGGTAATAGCTAAAGGCTAGATAGTGCGAGCGAACGGGGCGTAGGAGCCAGTGGGCGAGCAGCAAAAACGATCCGAGGCAGGACGCAGGAAAGTAAGAGAGAGAGAGAGACGGGGACTGGCGGGAGACGCACTCACCTGCTGCGGACCTCGACCACTTGGCGACGAGACGCAGAGAAACCATATATGGCTGTGGTCGACGGCCCAACATGCCGTGATCCTCCTTCTCGTTTTCTCTCCTCACGGCTCTCTTGACCTCCTTTGCCCCAGCTTCAAGCCCCCAACCCAAGCCCAGTGTCTTCTCTCTGACAAGCATAAGCCTCAACACCCATCCCTTTTCTTGAGCTTACACACTCTGGTCCCTTGCCCAAAATGGTCTCTTCCAAGGTTGTCGCCCTCGTCGGCGCTTTCTTCGCCTCGTCCACCGTCGCTCAGGCCACCACCAGCAACGAGATGGGCGCCGCCGCCTTCCTCTGGCCCGCCGACAGGAAGTGGGTGGATGCCACCGACGAGACGGCCCCCTGCGGCGGTGCCCAGCTCGGCGAGCGCACTGCCTTCCCTCTCAGTGAGTAATTCTTCTTGTCTCCGTCAAACCGTTTCTCCATCGACCGACTCGACGATGTCATCCTGTACCCTCTTGCACAACACACGCTGACAGTGACCACGTAGCCAACGGCAGGCTCGCCCTCGTCACCCAGGACAACACTCGTGCTGTCCACGTTGGTGTCTCGTACAGCAACAGTAAGTCCAGCCCTACGGCCCCGCTCGTGGATGCGAGCCATGCCGATGGGAAAAACAACATGACTGACGCAAGCTGGCGATAGACCCCACGTCGGCGTCCGACTTTGAGACGTTCTACGGCCCCGACCAGGTCGGCGCCCTGGACCTCGGCCACACGTGCATCACGGTGCCGGACCACCCCGCCAGCGTCACGGCCGGCAGCAACGCCACGTACCGCATCCTCTACGTCGCCAACTTTGAGGAGAACGAGGCCGCCCGCACGACGCACTACGCCTGCGCCGACGTCGAGTTTGTCGAGTTTGCCGCCTTTGACGAGGAGATCCCCTGCTTCAACTCGACCATCTCCGACCCCGAGGTCAAGGAGGACGGCTCGGTCAGCGTCACGACGACCGACGAGAACGGCAAGACACCCCACACCGTCGAGGACTTCACCGCCTCCGAGGACAAGGGCTCGTCCGGCCTCGCCGGCGGTGAGATTGCCGGCGTCGTCGTCGGCGTCGTCGCCGGTCTCGGTCTGCTCGCCGCCCTTGCCTTCTTCCTCGTCCGCCGCAAGAACCAGAAGAAGCAGGTCACCGAGCCCATGCGCGAGGTCGACGTCGAGAAGGTCCACTCTGACACTCTCTCTACCCGCTCTTAAGCGTGTGATGCCCCTGCCCTGCCTTGCCTGTGAGGTTCTTCGCTCGCACCACTGACGAGTCCGGGAGGGTCATCTTCGGAAGACGTTCTTGGCGAGGAAAAGAGGCTAGGAGGGTCGACCGTGGAAGCTATCCTGGCGAGGCGGTGAGACAACATGGTGGCGGACTGAGTGTATGGTACACTTGAAACGGGAGGAATTCCATGAACGGCAGCGATGTTTGCATGATTTTACCCTTGAGGCATGATGGATGAGATACGGTCAACGAGTAGGTAGTGAGAAGCCGTCCCAATTGAAATGCGACGCGGCCCTGGGTCGCCGTCGTATGGCCCTTTATACCCGTGCGAGAAAGAGCGAGATGAGTGAAGAACGAGATGAAGTTGATACAAGGTTGTTATGCTGTGATGGCTCGGATGGAATGACGCGTCGGTTGGGATGCCGCTATCCGGACAGATGGCCTTGTGGGGGGCGATGCGTCTGGGGATTTGTATGTACGCGGCTACTGGTGGACAGAGGCGATCATGGTTGTCCCGCTTTTCCAAGGCTGCAGCAGCTCCAGGCACCGACCACCTGTGAGTGCCTGCCCCAGATGCGTCCGCCTTCCAAAGACCAACATTAAAGCAACAGAGCCTGGGTCTTGGTCTCTGCATCACTTTCCACAATGCACCTACATGAAAAGGCATGAAGAAAGCTTGTGACGATCCTGTTGCTGTCCTCCCGAATTCCGATACGTACGTCAGCTTCGTCCTCTCAGCAACCTCGCGCGCTGAGACACTGCCCGTAGCATTCAGCCACGGCCTCGCCTGCCGCGATGAGCCACCGAGAAGGACAACCGTCGCCGAGCGCGGCCGCCATCGAAGAAGATGAGCGCCAGTACGCGGTCGGTGGTATGACCTCGCAAGAGGTCAACGAGAAGTGCGAGCCTCGCCTCTGCGACTTGTCTTGCGGCAATCACTGACCAAGCCCGCAGCTACCCTGGTCGCCCGAGGAATCACTCCGAGACATTCCTCTTCTCGGAGCTCTTCAAGAGCCTCTTCAACCCCCTGATGGAGAACAAGAAGCAGCCTCCAGGCTCGGGCCCGCCCCGCGCCAAACTCGGGCCCCATGGCCCTTCCAAGCCGTCGCCGAGCGAGCAGCGCCGCCACATCATCGACCGGTTCATCTCGCGATGGCGAAAGAATGTCGGCCACGATTTTTACCCGGCCATGCGATTGATCCTGCCCGACAAGGACCGCGACAGGGGCGTCTATGGCCTCAAGGAGAACGCCATTGGCAAGCTCCTCGTCAAGCTCATGAAGATTGACAAGAACTCCGAGGACGGCTACAACCTCCTGCACTGGAAGCTGCCCGGCCAAACCACGGCGTCGCGAATGGCCGGCGACTTTGCGGGTCGAGCCTTTGAGGTCTTGTCGAAGCGTCCCATGCGCATCGAAGTGGGTGACATGACGATTGCCGACGTCAATGAGCTGCTCGACAAGCTGGCCGGGTCCTCGGGAGAGCTGGAGAACCTCGAAGTGTTTGAGACGTTCTACGAGCGCATGAACGCCGAAGAGCTCATGTGGCTGATCCGCATCATCCTGAAGCAGATGAAGGTTGGCGCCACGGAAAAGACGTTGCTTCATCTCTGGCACCCCGACGCCGAGACTTTGTTCAACGTGTCGTCCAGCCTGCGGCGCGTGTGCTGGGAACTGTTCGACCCACAGGTCCGGCTGGAGCAGGAGAACACGGGCGTCACCCTCATGCAATGCTTCCAGCCACAATTGGCGCAGTTTCAGATGCCGGCATCGTTCCAGAAGATGGTCGACTACCTGCGGCCCACCGAGGAGGATCCCGAGTACTGGATCGAGGAGAAGCTCGACGGCGAACGGATGCAGATGCACATGATGGAGGACGCCTCAATATCCGGCGGCAAGCGCTTCTGCTTCTGGTCGCGCAAGGCGAAAGACTATACTTACCTCTACGGCGAGGGCCTCAAGGACGATCGCGGCGCGCTGACGCGACACCTCGGCAAGGCCTTTGCCGCTGGCGTGCGAAACATCATCCTGGACGGCGAGATGATCACCTGGGACCCGGAAACCGACAAGATCATGCAGTTTGGCACCTTGAAGACGGCAGCGCTGGCCGAGCAGAAGAACCCCTACAACAACACTGGCCCCCGCCCGCTCTTCCGCGTCTTTGACATCTTGTACCTAAATGACCAGCCGTTGACGCGATACACCCTCCGCGATCGCTACAATGCGCTGAGGAAAGCTGTCATTGGTGTACACAGAAGGATAGAGGTACACGAGCACGAGGCCGCGACATCGGCAGACGCCATCGAGCCGCTCCTTCGCAAAGTCGTCGCCGAGGCCTCGGAAGGCTTGGTCCTCAAGAACCCGCGCTCCATGTACCGCCTCAACAGCCGGAACGACGATTGGCTCAAAGTGAAGCCCGAGTACATGACGGAGTTTGGCGAATCGCTCGATTGTGTCGTGATTGGCGGCTACTACGGCTCGGGGAAGCGAGGCGGCATTCTCTCCACGTACTTGTGCGGCCTGCGCGTCAGCGAGAACCACATCAAAGCGGGAGCCAACCCCGAGAAGTGCTTCAGTCTTTTCAAGGTTGGCGGCGGCTTCAGCGTGGAGGACTATGCCGAGATTCGTCATCACACCGACGGCAAGTGGAAGGACTGGGATCCCAAGAAGCCGCCGAACGAGTACATTGAATTAGCACACGGCTTTGCCGAGAAACCAGATGTCTGGATCAGGCCAAAGGACTCATTTGTCCTCGAAGCAAAGGCCTCCAGCGTCGGCCCATCCGATCAATTTGCCCTGGGCTTCACGCTGCGATTTCCCAGGTTTCGCAAGCTCCGAAAAGACAAGAGCTGGGATCAGGGCCTCAGCGTGCAGGAATTCCAGGACCTGCGTCGCCGTGTCGAAGAGGAGGCTCAGGAGAAGACAATGAGCGTGGAGAACACGAAGCGCAGAGCTGTCAAGCGCGTCAAGAAGGAACTTGTCATTGCCGGCACCGACAGCACACCTGTTCAGTTTGAGGGCGAGAAGTCAAAGGTCTTCGAGGGGCTGGAATTTTGCGTCCTGTCCGAATCCCTCAAGCCATTCAAGAAGACCAAGACACAGCTGGAGACCATGATCAAAGCAAACGGCGGTCGCATCACGCAGCGACACGCCGCGCGGTCAGACCTGATCCTGATCGCGGACAAGCGGGTCGTCAGCGTCGCCAGTCTCATCAAGAAGGGCGACGTAGACATCATCCGGCCCAATTGGGTTCAAGATTGTCTCGCACAAGAAACCGACGACGGTCTTCTGCCCTACGAAGAACGCCATTTGTTCCACGCAACAGAGGGCCTGCGAGAGATTGCTAGGCAGAACACAGACGAGTTTGGTGACAGCTACTTCCGGATTGTAGACGTGGAGGAGCTGCGGCAGGTTCTGGTTGACATGTCCCCGCACGAGAAGAGTGAAGAGCGCGACGAGGACGCGGCCGAGTTTGCACGCCAGCTCAAGGAGAGGGGGAACGACTTGGGCGAACGGGATAGTGCCGTCTTTGGTCGTTGTGTTGTTCACCTTCATGTTCTACCCGGCGGGGAGCTGGACGCGTTTCGCTTGCGGAACTACATTGCCTTCGGCGGCGGGGAGGTTACCGATGGCTTGCCCGTTGATTCATCCACGCACATTGTGCTCGTCGGAGGGCGAGATGCAGAGAAACAGGATGCGGCCGTTTCGGTGCGCAAGGACATCGGCAACCGGCAGAAGATACCCCGCGTTGTTGCTTCACAATGGGTAGAGGACTCGTGGAAGGAGAGGACGATGCTCGACGAGGAGCGATACAGGGTATAATGTTCACAGCCATGATTCAGACCCTTTACCCGGTAGCCCGGCTTTTCTGCACATCACGACGGCCAGTTTTCTACTTGTATTGAGACACAAGTCTGGGCATGTGAGCGGTAGTTTTATGTCCCGATATGTGTTTTTTTGTTACCCATGATACGATGATGCAGCAAAATCCCCGTGTATGGCGCCGCCAAAAGCATACCCCCGCATCACACCCAAGAACCGTCCGCCGAGCGAAGCACGTGGAAAAAGAAGACTGATACTAACTATCAAGCGCTTATTTTCCAATGGTCAAGAAAAGCCTGTCGCCCACGTCACCCAGACCAGGCTTCAACATGCCCTCGGCCGTAATCTCGGCATCGACGCCCGCGACCCAAATGTCCGTGGCCTCGGGCCACTCGCTCGCGGCGCGCCGCACGCCCTCGGCAGCGCCAATGACGGACAGGACGATGATGCGGCGCGCGCCCCAGTCGCGCAGCGTGTTGATGGCGGCGGCGCAGGTGCCGCCGGTGGCGATGACGGGGTCGAGGATGATGGCGAGGCTCGAGGCGTTGGCGGCGCCGCCGCTGGCCTCGGCTTCGAGGGTGGAGGCGGCGGTGGAGACGGACGCAAAGGCGGCGGCCGAGGTGGAGGCGGCGGTGAGGGTCGGGTCGGGGATGTGGTGGGGCAGGTTGTTGTAGTACTCCACGGGCTCGAGGGTGGAGGGCTCGCGGTAGAGGCCGAGGTGGTGAACGGGCACCGGGTCGGGGAGGATGGTCTGGAGAGCGTCGACCATGGCGAGGCCTGAGCGGAGGATGGGCACAAGGCAGATGGTGCGGGGGTTGAGGACTGTTGTGGTGTATGTGAAACCAAGGGGGGTTTGGTCCTGGAGACGGAGGTTAGTGGGACACTCGGTGGGACACGGACGCCATGGGATCGATGGCGCTCTACTCACCTCTGGGCCTTTGGCTGGTGATGTTGAGGCTGCGAGGGCTTCGCAGCCGAGGATCAGGGCAATGTCATTGACGATGGTCTTGACATCCTTGGCTGGTGTTGACTTGGATCGTAGTTGCGAGAGCTTCACCTGAAGGCAGGGGTGAGAGGAGACGTGAACGTTGGGTGGAAGCTCAGATGAGGACGCCATATTGAATTGTCGCTGTTGGAACAATGAAGGTACGAGGAGTGAAGAAGAAGCAGAAGAAGAAGAAGAGAGGAGAGTAAATCGACAGAAACGTGTCGTGTTCCCCAGCGTGATGCCTAAAGGGAAGGTAAGGCGGTCCAGGTACCTGACGAGGTCATCGGTCAGGTCCCTTATCCATCGGGCCCCTCCCCGGGACTGCGGGGCAGGAGATAAAGCGGTCAGATAAGGGAGCTTGGGCCCTGCGGAGGTGGCCGATGCTCCACTGATAAGTCGGTCAGCTGCCAGCGTGTGGGGTGCAGGGGTGGTGCTCGGCAGTTTCCCCTACACCGATGACTTTCGGTAGGCATCGGTCAAGCGGAACGCGCTTGCCGTGGTACGCGTAGCTCAAAAGTGACTTCTCCCTCGATCAGTTGGCACAGAGGCTTTTTCAATCTCTGCTGCCATCGTACAACAATGTGAATGCATGCGCAATGATCATACCACTGTACGCTTTTTCCTTGGTTCACGATCATGAGCACGTCCGCCAATGTCGCGCCAAGCCAACCACGTCGATACGATGACCGCCAGGAACGCGTTTCTCGCTGGGCAACACAGCTCGACACGCACTCGTATCTTGTCTTTTTTGCGATATGGGGTACGCTCTCTAGACTTGGCTTACAGGCCTTGACCCATTACCCTGGAGCTCCCGTCTCGTTTGGTGTACTGTGGGCCAACATTGGTGGCAGCTTCATCTTCGGCTTCCTGGCTGAGGACACGAAGTTGTTCTACTCGCCTGTGGATGATCCGGTTGACGAGCAGGAGATGCCCTCACGCGAAACATACGCAGCTCCCAAGCCCGAGCTCGCATCAATGTCTGCTTCTGCAAGAAAGACGCACATGGCGAGGAAGAAGGCCATTCCGCTCTACGTCGGCCTTACCACCGGCTTCTGCGGTTCTTTCACCTCCTTCTCATCCTTCATTCGCGATATGTTCCTAGCTACCTCGAACGACCTCCCGTCTCCAGATCTGTCTACACCCCTGTCAAGGCATGGTGGCTACTCGTTCATGGCGCTTCTCGCGGTCCTCATCACCACACTAGGCCTCTCGCTGTCTGCTCTCATCGTAGGGAACCATGCAGCCAACGCCCTTCATCCCTGTACGCCGTCGCCTCCTCCAGGATTCACACGAAGATATTTAAACCCGCTCAGCATTCTTCTAGGCTGGGGCTCGTGGCTCGGTGCCATTCTGCTGGCTGTCTTCCCTCCATACAAGCACTGGCGCGGCCAAGCTCTCTTCGCCGTCGTTTTTGCGCCTCTCGGATGCATTGTGCGCTATCATCTCTCCCTTCTCCTCAACCCTCGCAATCCAGCCTTCCCCATCGGCACATTCTCAGCCAACATTTTGGGCACGGTGATCCTGGGCATGGGTTGGGATTTATTGCATGTGCCCCTGGGGGGCCTCGTCGGATGCCAGGTTCTTCTTGGCATCGATGATGGATTCTGCGGATGCTTGACGACAGTGTCGACGTGGGTGGCCGAGTTGGCTTCCCTGAGGAGGAGGCACGCCTACATCTACGGGTCGGTGAGCGTCGTGTCAGCCTTTGCGCTGATGGTGGCCATCATGGGTGGGATGCGGTGGAGTATTGGGTTCCAACCTCCGATGTGCAAGAACTGAGGTAGATATGGGTGGAGACTCGGGCATTCATCAAGAATTTTGACGACGAAAATCATTATGGACTGGCTATGCAGAACATTGCCTCCATCATCACGTTTCGACTCGTTACAGGCGGGTGAGCTCCTGACAGTGGATTTGCCGCCATTGGAAGAGATCCCGTATCGACAGGCAGCCTGGGAGAATCACAGGAGGCCAAGCAGTCCAGCCGCAACAGCCCGACCACGAGCGCCCAGGAGGCATTGGCACAAGTTGTCCAATATGCGTACACATTAGATTTGAGCAAAGGATCTCGACACAGGCGGCATCTCGGTGTACATTTCGAATCGATCCGTATCAGCAAAACGACGCATCGGACTTGATTAACTATACCGCTCAGAAAGAGAGTGAAGGCCGACAACAGTCTCAGGGCTCCTGCAAGGCCGCATAGAACCAGAAAACGTGCACCTAGCACTTGTACCATTCAATATGCACCTGCTGCTGCAGCGACACGGTCGCGTCGTCGTTTGTAATCATGCCAAACGCTTCGGGCTTCTCACTGTTGAGCGCGATGCGGTTGATGATATTGAGCGTGGCCTGCGACCCCCCGCACGGGGACCGCACGACGTCGCCGGCGGGCACAATATCCTGCTTGGTGTAGACCTGGCCGGCGGCCCAGGGCCCGCCGCCGCGGATGCTCGTCTGCGTTGTCGATGTTTTGGCGGCGTCGGCGCTGAAGTAGTAGGTCGAGAAGAAGTTGCCCGTGACGCCCGGGTCGAGCAGGGCGAAGCCGTGGTAAACGCTGTCCACGACGGCGAAGCTAAAGCCGGCGGGGTACTGCAAGTTGAGGTGGAGCTGGCAGTTCTTGGAGCGCTCGGTGTAGGAGGTGCCGGGCCCTATGTAGGTCTGGAACTGATCGAACCCAAAGGTGATGACCTGGGCCACGTGAGTAGGTGTTTCATGGTGGGGAGTTGACATAGCGGGGACTTGCGGTCTTGTCGCCCGACACTACGGACGTCACTGTTCCTTGCGGGCAGCCATTGCCAGAATGAGATGCCTTGCTGATGGCGATCTTGGCCTTGTCCAGGGCCTCAGTGGCGAGGACCAAGGTGGGGATGTAGAAGAGAATAGAGATGCGCATGGCGAAGGTGTAATCAGGGGTATCAAGAGAGGCGCTTTCGGTTAGATTTGAGAATATGATGAAGGGGGCCGTCCTTCTTTACGAATGTGGAGAGCGATCGACATGACCAGGGATTTTATACTCGGGAGACCCTTACTATCGGGAGAAGCATGCGTATACGACGTCCCGGAAAGGCAGGTTCATGGTGTGATAAAGCGCAATACAGATTGGGACGGGCCTTTTGAGCTGGGAATCGCGTCAGGCAGGCATCGAAAAGCGGGCGCCAAAGAATGGATGTTGAAGGTATCACTGGCAAAAACAATCGTCCATTGATACGGCGGATGTAGTGCTAGCCAAGACGTGCAAAGTGCCAGCTGGAAGAAGTCTCAGTATGTATTCATCCAAATGAGCCGCGATACAACGCTGGTGTGCCACTCGCCTAGATGGAACCATTCGCAGTGCCAGAACCAGCGGTTGGCGACGGGCAAATAGGCAAAACCCCAGCTGGAGAGGAATTTTCAAATGAGGGGGCATATGAGAATGGTCGGTGGGCTTGCATTTGACCCAAGAAACACAGTCAAAATTCGAATCAATCATGCCGAAATGGGCTCGTGCGGGAGCACTGGGGATGCTGTGCTGAATGCTACATTGAAGTTGCGCTGGTGTCACATGCTCTAGGTTTATCAGACGTGGTACAAGTAGCCGGGATGCAGGGTCTGAACGGGACCCTGCTGATCCAGAAGGGAACGGCAGCGGAATCTTTTGTTCCCAAAGTCGCGAGGCTCAGAGTAATCGAGGAGGAGTAAAAGACCAATGGTAGACACGACCCAAGTCGCAAACAGGAAGCCGGGGAGTTGTCCCCAACAATGCCAGTACAGTCGCATGGGCAATCGGTACCTTTGAGAACCAAATGAAGTAAAGAAGAAGACCTGTCTCCCAATTTCCTACTCTACATGATAGTCGTTGGCGAAACACTCAAAAGAAGAATGTGCTTCATAAAAGCTTGTGATCAGCCAGCAGCGTGACGTATTCGTCAATTTTACGCCGTCTCGTCTCTGGCCTCCTCGTAGTTTCGATGCGCCAGAGAAATTGATACCGCTGCGTTTTGTTCAGTGCCTCAAAGAACGATTTCGCTGAACTGTTCTTGAGCAGCGCCGCTTGGAAGTCCGCTGGCACCTGCATGCTGCTCGGCCCGGCGTAGGCGCGCTCCCACCGCCCATCTGCTTTTGCGGCGTCTATCTCAGCCTGCCCCGGCGCCCGCATTCGGCCCTCCTGGATGAGGACGGCCACCTTATCGACGTTGCGCTTGGACCACATGCTGTTCTTTCGACGCGGGGTGAAGCGCTGGAGGAAGTGCTCAGCGTCGTGGGTCTTGCGCTGGCCATCGATCCAGCCGTAACACAAGGCGGTGTCGAGAGCCTGATCATACGTGACGGTCGGCTTGGAGGCCGCCTTCTTGGCAATCTGCAGCCAGACGCCAGTGAGGTCCTGCGGGTTCGCGGCGAGCCATGTTTCCCACGCGACGGCGGTGTCGAAGAGGCGGATCGGTGGAGACTGAGGCGCTGCGGCGATCTTAGCCGCGCGTGAGCCCAGGGTGGCCTTCTTCGTGGCGGGCTCCGTCAGCTTAGACAGGGTGGCAGTTGTGGATCGCGTTCGTCGAGACATTGGGCATCATCAGCTCCTTCACACGGGAATTCGTATGAAGCCAAGTCTGGCGCGCCGTCGGAAAAGAGATGGTTGGTGGGTAGCTGACAGCTTCCCCCAACCACAAACGAGCTCTCATGTGACCGTATTCAGATAAGATAAGCCAACCTTGGACGACTGAGATGACTGGGTACGCGCGGACTCAGGCGAAGTACTAAGTCGCTAATCAGGTGCACACGAAGCATTCGAATCAGTAATCTCGGATTTCGCAAGTTACAGTCTGTCCGAAGATGGGTCCCACATGCTTTCTGCAATTGGGGCGCTTTAAAGCTACTGACTGACGACGTTACTCAGGTGTTTTACGTCTTTCGGACTGATCCCCGAGACAAGGCACTCTAGGATGCGACATGACAAGAGCCAATGCTGAGAATGTCGAAGACATGCTCATTAGTGTCAATAGACTGCATCCTCTGACTCGATTAGGCAAGCCAGTCGGCGATGTTGTAGTGTCATTCTAAATAAACGTGACTATGCCATTTTCGATGTTTCAGAGAAGGCGGAGAGCCCAGGATCAAAGCGAAAGCGAACGTCGGAGCCCGGAGTGGGAGCCGTTGACAAGGGTTCTTTTCGCCGTCTTCATGAACATTCTTCGTTGATTCAACCAGGGGGTTGGCAACGCCGAGAAGTCACTTGTCATTATCCTCTGTGATTCTCTTGACTATTCGACGAGTGCTGAACACCGGCTCACAATGTGAGATAGAAACATCATCTTCGAGAGGCATCGTGGGCTCGGTGCACGCTGAAAATACCCATGAAACTTTGCGCTGATGGTTGAGATCGACGGATGTAGATTGAACACTGTCGTATAAAAATCTGGCGGCTCCATTCAGTGAGAGAATGTCAGATCCAATAGCATTCCTTTGATTTGAAACATGGGCAAAACAATCGCCAGGTATGGATGCTAACCCTACTGAGGGATGCTGCGTAATCTCTTGCTCGGCCCCATCTCGTGCGGAAACGCCCATCCAGGTTCTAACTTGAACGAGCCTTAACAATAGAGAAACCAATAGGCTCAAGCTCTTGATGCCGCACACCACACCCTTGCGGCAAAGTTAAACCTTGAAGCCGCTGCCGCCGAACCACTTGAGCATTAATCTAGAACAGTTGGCCCGAGGCTTTGTTATGCATGCAAGACTCGGTGTCCGTTATGGGTGGTCAAGTAGCCCCTGCAGCTGATCGTGAGAGAACCGCCTGCCGGCCCAGTTGCTTGCCTTTGATACCAATGAATTGGCCACGAGATCCGGCGCTGATGACGAAGCTGCTTCCTTGACCTCCTTATTACGAAATGTTTGGTTGACAGAAGACGATAAAGGTCTGACATCATGTAGTGCTCCATGGGTATCCCAAGATCGATGCATGACCGGCTTGGATACACCCTTCAAGGGCACAGACAGGGGATACCGGCATTTCTGTGTTAAACCAAATGGGGTTTGGGGATGAGGCCCATTCGTCAACCACATAGTCAAGTAAAATGAATGGCGTTCAAGAGTGCTGATTCGTGTCCACTTCGGCATGTCAGCAACTTACCGCCGACCTAACCGGTGTGTCGTCGCCGACGTGGGAAACCCCCATGCGAAATGATCACCAACTTGTTCCCGAGGCACCAATCGACATTGTAATGATATCACCTAAGTCTGGTCCGGGACAACAACAAAGCCCGGCCGTAAATCTCAGCCCTTCAGCATGCGGAGAAGTTCACATCAATTTCCAATCCGCCAAAACGGCACCAAAGGTGGGGTCATTGTCTGCGGCTGTCGGTATCCGGATAGGACGGCGACGACCTGGAGTAGTGAAGATGCCTTTTTCTTACTTTGAGGTATCGAGTTGCCAGCTTCCTTCACAAGCTGGCTGTTACAGCGTAACATCTTTCTCAGAGGTACAAAGTCAATTTTTTGGATGTACCTCAACAACGACACTATAGACGTTTTGTGCCCTTCGGCACTTGCCGACCAGTGCAGGACGACGAAGCGCAAGCTTCCCATTGCTTCCTCCGAGAGATGGGCTTAGATTGTCTTGGACTGGAGCGAGACCCGAGTCAAGTTCCTCCTCGCTAGTCGCTTGTTCCGTATCTCACCCGTATCGAGTTGCATCTGATGAATGATGACCGTTTTGGGGATAAAAAGACTATCGAGTTTAGGCCGTTGTGTTAGAACATCATGAAGGCCCATCTGCGCACCAGCATGGTTATCTAGCCGTGACAGAACTGCTGTGCTAAAGAGGTTTCTTATACAGGTATAATGACTCGGCCGGCGTAAGCTCTCAAACCTGTACAGGAGCATTGTTGATCTACATTGATCCGAAGAGGACTGGCTGGCGCGATCTAGCATTTTTACCAATCGCCCCTGTATGAATCACCTGTTTGAGCCGTGCGAGCTTTTGATAACTCATTCTTCGAATAATGTCCCAAAAGTAACATCGTCCTTGGGAGCCCAGCTCTTTCCAGCTTGCTGCAGGTCAGGTCGGAGTTTTCCGAGAGGAAGATCAAGGATCTCTGTGGTAGGGGTGCTACCGTACTGCAGCTCGGCCTGAAGTAGCCCGAAAAGGAATTATGTGTGCCTTACTCGCTGATGGGAAGTTGAGATATCATAGCAAGAGCGGCAAGATCTAGTAAAGCATCGTCAAACAACAAGATCGATGTACATGTGAGCTGATATGGTGCTCACGTCACGTCGTTTACATTATTTTCAGAGTCAGTGCACTGAACCGTTTATCCTGTTCAGAAAGGTTAACGATAGTAGCAGGCCTAGTTGAAATACGAAGAGAAAACAATGACCGAGGGAACCTGGGTGAAGATCCATCTCGTTAACCCCCACGACGACAACTGAGAACTCAATGTAACTGTCACTCACGCAGCCTCCGTTGGGGTTTAGACTGCCACCCAGCTTGAATGTAGCTTTTCGTGTTTGACAGAGAAAGGAAAGGGGGAAAGGCATGATTCGCCAGCGGCACGTCTTTGCGAGCGCACGAAATCGAATGTACGATCATAGGATGCCTGATTCGCGCCGTGCTTCCGGCACGTTCAGACGGCATGTATTAGGTTCTCTGTAGGCGACCTACGACAGGGGGCAGGACTCGTGTTGCTGCAAGGAATCGCAGTCTTTCGACAAAGTGCCGTCTCAAGACGTCTACCGAAGGCCACTGACTGGTCTATAAAAGGCGACGCAACCAACGTGCTGTTCTGGGTCACGCTGTAACCATCATCATTCTCCTCTCTCAATAGATCTTCATCATCAACCACTTCCTCAACCAAGAGACGTAAGTTCAAACACCGGTCATTAAGCCGTTGCAAAATTGACCGTTACGACAGATCATGAAGCTCATCACGGCGGCACTTGCGTTAGCTGTACTGGCTCCGTCTATTGATGCTGCTAAAATCCATGTTTCCACCAGCGATCGCTTGATCGAAGTCGGCAACCTTGACCTTTTCGCCACAACCTGGAAGGCAATTTATGAGGATCCCACCAATTTGCACCAAGTCTCAATCAGGGATGAAGAATTTTCAACTCAGAGCAAGCGTTGCCACTTTGACGATGACCCGGATCACAAAGTCACCGTATCAATTATCGGCAAGTGGAACGATGTCGACGGCAAGCACCTTCAAGTCCGAGATGCCATGGTCGAAGCTGCTTGGGAAACGGTCAAGAGAATCGCCGAAAAACACCAATATGAAGTTTACGTGGAATGCTGCGCCGACACTATTGCCGTGAACTGCAACAAATTTGGCGCGGCATGCGCGGATCGTGTTTGCAAATGTCCTGGAGAGGGAAGGTCCGCTAAATGCAACAAACTCCGACACGGACACCAAGTACCTGCGCTTATCTACGTCACTGCCGACACTGACGGATCGAACACTCAAAACAACGAAATCTTGATTGAGTTCTCATCCGAGGCCGTGGAGAGTAAAGGAGGTTGCGGTGCTCTTGACGACATTATTCAAGTTTTCAAGGGCTGGATTTTCCCTCCCGTGATTGCAGATGTTGTTGGAATGGGTATTGACCTTGGTTGTGGCAAATAAGTTTCTCGTCAGGCTTGGCAGAGAATAAATGACCCGTCCAGCGGGTAAAGCAGATCTCCTACGGTTGCTATACATGTGTCCATCAGAAAGGAATGATGCGACCACGCCGCCCACAATTCTCAGGACGTCCAGCGCTGCTAGCCTTTGAGGCAGCTTTCTTTTCTCCGAAGCAATCTAAGTATTGCTCTGCTTCTTACTTTCTTACTTAGGTACCTTAGCTTACGAGTCCCTTCCTTAGAGTCAGGGCATGACCAGATTGGCACGAGGCTCGATAGGTTGATAGACATCTGACGAAGTTTAAGGTTCTTTTTCCACCTTGATGTATAATCTTGGTTAACATTCATATGTTTGTCAAGCATCTCAGGTTGTAATTCAAGCCTAGGTCTTATGTCCGTTGAATTTACAGCAATTCGTGCCTTGTTATAGGCAATGAACGTGAGAAGGCCTCGCTCGTTCACATGTATTATTGTTTCGGAAATTGACGTCCGGCCATCTGCTTTTTTCTATTACCTTACTATGTAAGCTATGATCTCCTTTTCTCGTGCCTCTTCGGACATTACCCACGACCTTGGCCTCCCAGAGAGACTTAACCTCCCGCTATACAATGACTAAAGTACCTGTTCCTAGCCTTTGAGAGGGCGAAAATGATGGGCGTCGCTGCCTGTAGCATCCTTTATCAAGGTCGCCGGCCGATGTGTGTCAACGCTTGCCAGCATCGTAACCTCAGATTACCGTCATATGATATACAACGTCTTGTCGCTACAGTTCATCCTAGCTGTGCAGAGATGCGAACATATGGATTAGGTCTCTGACCTTCGTGCTAGAGCTTCCTCTAACCTACTGCCATAAGTATAGTGTGGGATAATGTTCATGCTTGGCCAGGTCGCATCGACTCTGTAGATTTAATGTACCCATCAATGGAATGAGCGTGCCATCTCCAAGCTACGACAATTACGTTTACCGCTCATTATGTAATGTGGTTCACGCTTATCACAAGGTTGGATCTGCCGACCCTCTGAAAGAAGTGAGCGCGTCCAGACGTGCACAGCTCTAACACAAGAGAACTTCGCCGGCATTCATTGGCACATCGGCCAAGGCCAGCGCTCTACAATAGCCTTCCATGGGACAGCTCATGGAGCCATTGCCGCATCCTACAAGGTGAAACGAGGTGAAGCTCTCATCGCGCCCCGCAACCTACTCCATGAACCCACCTGTCAGCGCCGCTTTCATCAATCCCCGGTGAGGTGGCCGAGTTGGTTATGGCGCCAGGTTAAGGTCTCCTTAACAGATTTCCTGGTGGGGCAACCCGCGCGAGTTCGAGTCTCGTCCTCATCATATGCCTTTTTGCCGTTCGGTGTCTTGATCCGTTTCTTTCGAATGTCGTTGGGAAAAGGTATTTTATTGGACTGAAAAAAAAACTTCAGGGCGGGATGTTGAGTTACGCACGATTAGGTAAGTCGACGACTGTCATCCATGTTGCCAGTGTGAGTACCTACATGGCAAATCTTTCCCTCTTACTGGCAAAGACAAGATGCTTGATCGTCTATTGAACTAATCTGGGGACTGAATACTAGGCAGACTGCACACTGTATGTTTCATGGGAAAGTAGGCTGATCTCTGGTATTCGTCGTGTTTCGTTTTCTGCTCCTCGTCTTCTGCGTTCCCTGACTTCGATTGAGCTTGGAATGCACGCTGCCTTCATGATGCTGACAACGGCCTTCGCCTCATCCTGACCCGCAAGCCTTCTTGTCGTGGGAACCAACTGCAAATAACCTTCCAGTCTGCCTTTTCCGACAACTCTATGTCGTACAGCGTAATGAGCGTAGTCAGAACCTTGTAGGACTGGAACAACCCCAGGTTCTTGCCGATGCAGCTTCTGCTTCCGCCCCCAAAGGACAAGTCCGCCTTGTTCATCAGGATCAGGCGTGACTGGAAGGAGTCTTCCGTTTCGCCTCCAGCCTCGTCCCTCAACCAGCGCTCTGGCCGGAACGCGTCGGCATTAGCGCCAAAGACCGATTGGTTCCGATTCGTGATATAAGGGCTCATCCCGATGATAGTTCCCCCAGGCAGATAGTCGCCGTTCGGTAGCGTGAACCCGCCAGCCGGGACGTAGCGTTCCATAGACATAGAGACGCCTGGCAAAATGCGGAGCGCTTCGCGCACGACAGCATCGACGTAAGGAATGGCGCGGACTTCTTTGTATGCCGGTGGAACCATTCCGCGCTCTTGGAAACGCTTCGCACGAATTTCGCCGTTGAGCCGAGACCAGACTTTGGGATCGCTGAGGGAGAAGTATAGAGCGCTTCGGATGGTGATCGCTGTAGTCTGGAAGAGCAAGTAAGACATTATTAGGAAGATCAACAGTAGCAAATAATCGACTTACATCGCTTCCTGCGATCATATTGACCATGAGCCAGGAAATGATCTGAGGGTCACTGACGTTTTCAGGCTCGTCATTCTTGGCGGCAATGAAGTGATCGAGAAAGTCGGGAATGTCCGGGTTGTGGTATTCCTTGTCTGCACCAGTGTAGCGGTCTTGCAAGCGTTGGATCGAGATGCCAGTGGAAGTATTGAATCCGGGTGGCCCGACACGGTAAACGGGATTCTTATCGAAAACTCGGTCGAGGAACGGCATGGCTCCGACGACGACAAAATAGTCCTGTGCTTTGTCGGCAGCATGGAGAACGCCGTCGAAATCGAAGCCTTTATCCAAATAACCGAATGGCTTGGAGAACGTCACAGCACCAGTCACATCCCAGGTATCTGCGTTTGATCAGTACGCGAGGTAAATACAACGCTTCATTCAATTTATTCCCGAAGGGAGGGGGGGGGGGGGGAGACCTCGCTCGTAGAATATATGGCGGGGCTTTCTTACAGAATAGAATCCACTGGCCAAGGTCGAACTCCCGCTTGTCGTCTGGAACATTGATGAACCGTCTCTCCAGGTCTTGGCAGAACTTCTCCATGACTGAGTCAATATGAGGCTCGAGCGCGGCAGTGGCAGACGGGGAGTAGAATTTGGCAATTGGCTTTCTCTCCTTTGCGTGCTGTTTTGAATCGGTCTGGCTGAACAGGTTGAGGACGATCTGATTATTGACAAGCGCGCTACTTCCATGGTACCAGGGAGTCTACGTCGACAATGGGTTAGCATCGCGTTGGCGAAATTTCTCCCCGGTGACTGACCTTATGCCAATTCCCCTTCGTGCTGAAAACCGTCTGGATAATCTCTGGTATGTCAACATCAATGATGTATGGTGTGATACGGACAATGGGGCCGTGTTTCTTGTGCAATCTTTCTAGCTGTAGCTGAGAGTTGCCTGTCCAATTCCAGTACATGTACCAGAGCCTGGTCCATCCTGGAGTCCGACCAGGACGTTAGAATTAATTCTTATGGACTTCTGCCCTCATCGATGTTTGATTGGAGGCGCGTGACTCACGTGCGAGAAATGGTCCTGGGTACTTTTTAAGAGGCGAATAAAGCTCCTCATATAAACACCACAATAGAAAGGTGGTAGCTGGTATCAAGAAGAGTATCGTGAATGATGACTTCTCTGCTACTACCCCTGTTAGTGGAGGAGCGCTTTCGAGGATAACACCACTGGAGTTGTCCGTCATCTTCACGCAGCCTGACCAAACAGGCGGTGGACCGGTCAGTAGCAAATGTCGAGGGACAAGTAGTGCGACAGCGGTTTCAGTGAGAAAGAGAGATCCCCGCAGTATAAGAACTGGGTGGCACCAAAGATCCAGAAAGGTGGATAACCGGAACGTTGGTCTAGGAAGGCCGTCGCGGGGGATAGACGCACACGACAGGGTTCGGAACATGGGGCGATGCGGCCCGGCCTTGGGATTTTCTGTCACGGCCAACGTGATGCACATCGATCAGGGGTATATCGACCAACACTGCACAACGAAAGCTCGGCATCCCACTTTTCTCGACCACTCGCATCTTCCGACAGAGGTCCATTGTGAATCATCAGGCCACTCTTGATTTTCGCGTCAGCCGGGGAACCAGAGTAGGAAGGAAGCTAGGCCCGGGCCCTTCCCAGGATCCTGGACGCACAGCCTGGAGTATTTCGGTGTAGATGATGGCCAGGCAATGAAGAGAGTTCTGGAGAGGGGGTTTGTAGACTCATCTTTTGTCATAGGAAAGATTTAAACCAGATGCTTGATATTGAGGGTGTTCATTCTGCCCGACGCATATCCCAAGCGACTTTTTCACCGTACGTTTGCCTTTTAGAAGACAAATCGCCATTGGAATACACAGGAGACTTTCACAACCATGACGGGTAGTGAGAAAGGACAGGCGGCCTTGGCCGTCATGTGGACCCTGACAGCCATTACACTTGTCTTCTTGTGTCTCCGTCTCGTGACGAGATACTTCATCATTGATCAGCTCGGCTTCGACGATTACACTTACGTTGTAGCGGCGGTGAGCTAGGCTCTGGAGACCCACGACGCTCGTAGCTGCTGCTGACTTTTGAATCTGTTTCTTAGATCTTATTGGTTCTGTACACAACCTTTACGCACGTGGCAGAAGGATACGGATTTGGTCGTTCGATTTACGGCCTCGAAATCAAAGATGCGACAGCTGCGATCAAGTGGGAAATGGTCGGGCAGTCATTTTCGATCATTGGCATGGCCGTGTCCAAGATATCCCTCGGATTATTCCTCCTTCGACTGACAGTGGTTCACTGGCACCGAGTGGCGATTTGGACCGTAATGGGTGTTCTTCTCGCCGACTCAATCGCAACAGTCATCTCGTTTTGGTTTCAGTGCAATCCACCGAGGGCAATATTCGACCTGGAGTTACGTCCAACGGCCAAATGCGACTGGGACATCACTCCCGTGGCCGTCACTCTGGGTGGTAAGTTATCCGATCTCGGTGACAGCGAGTCGCAAGTCTAACGCTGCTAGTCTGTTGCGTCATCTCCGACTTCTTCTTTGCTGCTTTCCCAACGTTGATCGTATGGGACTTGAAGATGAAAAGAAAAGAGAAGATATTCATCGCGGTCAGTATGGGTTTGGGTGTTATGTAAGGCCTCCCACTAGAACAATTGTTGTTGGCCAGCCTCGCTAACTGATGCCCACTCAGTGCTGCTGCTGCAGGTATCGTCAGAACATACGAGGTAGCGACTGGGTTTACGGAAAACTACACCGGTAAGAACGTACTCTTCGCGATTTGGGAATCATACTGATGACGCAACAGAGGACACAGTCCCCCTCATCGTATGGTCGTGCGCCGAGCAATCCGTCACCATGATATGTATCGGCATTCCGCTCCTGCGACCCCTTTACCGACACGTGTTGAAGCGCGACAATCTATCTACGTCGTCAAAAGCACAATATCACAAGTACAGCGAGGGAACGGATAAGGAGAGCTACAAGATGCGTGGGATCTCGAAGAAAGAAAGAGCAGAGGGCAGCACGGGCGGCAAAGAGGCAAGCAATGCCAGCTTGGGTCTTGACAGCCAGACTGTGACGGACATTGGGGCTTTGAACAACAATAGCAGCAACGAACACATACTCGGCATTGACACCATACGAAATTCGAGCGACGCTGGTTCGTCGGGCAATCGCCTCAACCGGGGGATACGGGTCAAAGAGGATGTCCAGGTCGAGTGGAGCAATCGGTGACGGAGATGTGACGAAGAGGGCATGATTTGCATCCGGCCGCTGATGGGGAGCGGATGATTGTTTGGTACAGCATGGGTGCTGCAATATCGATGACATGGATGTTACGCAACTGCGTAGTTCATTAGAAGAGCATCCAAGACAATCTCACCCGAAGGTCATGTTTTCCAAGCCGTCATGTCGTAACACCTTCTGATTCTTCATAGAACAAGGACCGCAGAGAGGGAAGAGACTTGAAAACCCAAAGAGAAAACAACAGAGGGCCCAGTCGCGGAGGAAGCTGTGCCGCATTCAGGCAGATTGCCAGCACCTATGCAAGCCAAGCGCCCCTTGCGCTTAATGTTTCGTACCCTTGGAGATATGCCACTTGTTGTGTACGTAGGAATGAATAGGCATCCTTCGAGCACTGTTCTCACACTAATACTTTTGCGACCCAGAGACAGATCTTCCGGCTGGTTAGCACCGCGTTTTCACAGCTCCTGTTGTGGCGCACAACCCATGTTGTCGACGACAGGCCCCAATCACGGATAGAGCGGGTGGCGTGACCAGGGATCGCGGAAGCATGCCGGCAACCGTTCGACGACACATCAGCCGCAAGATCCTTATTTAGGCCCCGCTCCACGATGGTGCGTCCCGACCCCTGTCCTGTGACTCGACTGCATCTCGAGCCTTGCCAATGTGTGGCGGGTTGGGCCTTGGGTTTGTTTTCTCCTTCCACTGCGCTCTTTACTCCGCAGGCCAGTCTGTCAAAAGCTTCTCGACAATTACTGACTTGGCGATTGGGATCATTTCAAAGGAGATGGGTGCCAAGGGATCGTCCGGCCGACAGTGGAAAGCGCATACAAGTGCGTTCCGATACGAAGACGCCGTGCTTGCTCATCCGACCACCAAGTGCTGGTTGAGCATCTGGTACTCACCTCCCGAGTTTATGCATCAGACAGCCACCATTCAGGCCACCATGTTCACGCGGTACAGCTTTCGGAAGGCATCAAGCCATTTGACTATTACATCCACAGCACGGGAGACAAGAGACTGGTCATACCCCAAACGGTATCATGTCTATTGGGTTGTTGAAACTCCCCCAGTAGGGGGACATTAAGTCTAGTCGCTGGCATGGTCTAGCAAAAATAGCTGGACCGGTGGAGAGCGTATGTAATGTGGTATCCAAGGCGATGCATGCCTGGCACGCCGCGAACGAGGCGTGCCCAAATCTCTCGATCCTCGACTCAAAATGCAAATGTAAAAATCAATCTCCTAAAAGGCCCTGTTGTGGGCGGCGCCAGACTGAGCAGCCTCCTGCTCGAGCGCGGCGGTGGTGCCGATGGGGCGCTTGAAGAAGACGTTGCGCTCCCAACCATCGATATCATCGATGACGGTCTCACGAACAAGCTCGTACTTGCCGATGCGGGGCAGGATCTTGGCCCAAACGGCCCAGTAGATGCCACCAGCGAAGAGGACGGCGAAGCCGGTCACGCAGTGGATCCAGTAGGGGAGGTTCTCGTACTGGTTCTGCTCGGGCGTAGGGGGAGGAACGAAGGGAGCAACGACGAGGTAGATGTTGCTGAGCAGGAAGAAGATGACGACGGGGAGCGAAGCGCTGAAGGGAGGGTTCCAGTTCCACGCGGAGCGGTTGAGGTAAAGGTGAACGAGACCACCGGCGACGAAGACGTTGATGATGGCAAGAGGGTACGAAATGAGGCTATTTGTGGTTAGCGAGCGATCAGACATAGGTTAATTGACCAGTCGTGACATACTTGAGGAGGAAGTTGTAGGCATCGCCAGGAGGGGGCGCCAGCATGACGATGATGCAGATGAGCCAGTGCTCGAACAGGCCAGCGAGAGGTGCGTTGAAGGGCTTGTTGCTGGCCCAGAAGCGAGAGAAGGGCAGGATACCCTCGCGGCCGAGCTCCTGGACAAGACGACCCTGGGAGAAAATGACGGAGAGAACGTTTCCAAAGGCGGAAAGGGCAACGAAGACGGAGAGGGCGCGCTCGGCGGTGCCACCAAAAACGTTACGGAACAGCGAAGCGGCGACGAGACGGCCAGAGGTCAGGATCTCCTCCTTGGGAACGGCAGCGAAGTAGGCAATGTTGATGAACATGTAAAGGACCGAGATGGCACCGATGGCGATGGGAGCAGCAAACTTCAGGGTGCGGACCGGGTTCTTCGTCTCGCTGAGGGCGTAATTGGCGTTGCTATAACCAACGTAGGACCAGATAACGTTGTAGATGGAGGTGACGACACCGTAGGCGCTGCCGGTGGTGCCCTCGAAGGCATTGTCGAAGTTGTTGAAGTCGTTGTCGATCTTGAGGTGACCGCCGAGGGCAATGAAGCCAGCAATGATCATGAGGAAGACAATGGTGAGCTTGATCCAACCGAGGAGGTTCTGCAGGCGCAGACCCCACTTGAGGGCGGTACCGTGGATGATGAAGGCCGTGGTGATGCAAGCGAGACCGACACCACGCTGGTTGAAGCGAGTGATCTCAACGTTGGCGGCGTGAAGGATGTATTCGCCGAAGACAACCGAGTTACCGGCAGCCCAACCGAGGAGGACGACGTAGCCGGCGTACAGACCGGTGGTCAGGAACTTGGGCTTGCGGTAGACGTACTCGAGGTAGTTCTTCTCACCACCGTTCTTAGGGATGGCGGTGCCGAACTCCATGTAGACGGCGGTACCAGCAAAGGCAATGATCATACCGGCGACCCACATGAAGAGGGCCAGACCGACGGAACCAGAGGAGCGCAGAATGCTGGAAGGCGTGGCGAAGATACCAGTACCAACGATGCGGTTGAAGATGAGGAAACTGGCGCTGATGATGCCAATCTGGCGCTTAGCCTCGCGCTTCTGCTCAATGCGGCCTACACAGTTGTCTTGTCAGCACGGAGGGCACAAGCAATCCAAGCTCGCGGGCGGCGCGGCGTATACGTACCGACTTCGCTGTCATTGTCAGAGGCGGCCGGCAGGAAGCCGTCCTTATGGTCGGTGCCAGAGGCGGCGGCAGGGGCGTCGCCGAAGACGCGGGGCGCAAAGTTGTCAGCCATGGCGTATGGGTGTTGATGATCGTAGCCGGCCTTTGGGTGTCTATGACCAAGATCCAATCGGTGATCGGCGAAACTCGAGGGCTGCGGGAGGCTCCAGGAACATGCAGGTCAAGCGAGCTAGAAAGAAAGGAAGGGTTCGAGAAGGGGTTTTATAAAGTCAGTCGCTCCCATGGGGCAGCACCCACGCGAAAGTCTGGGCCCCAGAAACGGTAGCATTGTACTACATGGGATGGCCCCATGGTTCGGACCGCCGTACGGCGCCAAGTGGACCGACCATCATGGACCGCGATGACGCCTTCGGCCTCGGAGGTTCACGACAGGCTGGGCTCACGTTGATGACATGACGCGACGCGAGAAATAGGCAACTGGATTGCTGTTGGCGCAGTTGCGTGATCGTGAGGCCGACGGTATGCGTCTCGATGCGGGCGCCCCTTGCCCGCAGGATGGTGGTGTCGCTGTCCAGCAGACCCAGCAGCTTCCCGTCTTGCAGGCACGGCGACATCCACCAGGATGGCCGTTCACTCGGGACAGACCAGGTCTCAGCTGTCTGGGTAGGATGCGTGCTGGTGCACCCGCACATGGTTTGAGTGGCAAGGGGGTGTGGAGGTGGTCGAGGTTTGTTGGTGAAGACGTTGGATTTGAGGTGGGTTTGGCAGGTGCCGTTGCGAGGCTCTGGTTGGTGATGCCGCCGTCCTGACCGGTACGTACCGAGTGACTAAGCCAGGTGTGTGTCAGGATTTCCACTTCGGTGAGCTTAGACCCGATGACGCGATCTGCCGTGATCGCATCGCCAAGTATGCAGCCAATGAAAAGTGCCGGTCATGCAAAATTCGTCTTCTCTGCTTCTTAACCACATTCCTTTCCTGGGAGCCCCGAGATTCCGTCAGTCTTGGTGAGGATGCAAACATTGCCCAAGCTCGCCAACAGGATGCCTGCTCTTGTACGCGAGCTTGGCAAAAATTGTTTCTCTGGCTGCTTCGTAGCCCACAACGCCCGCTACACCCTGAAGCTGATCAGGAGGCCGCCTCGATAGTCTGACCCACCTGCTTCCCGTCCTACCTCTTCGAGCCTCAAATGAGCCTTATTCAGGCCACCTGGGCCTCAGCCGGTCTATTGTGTCATGGACGAGAAGGGTCCAGGGCCACAATAGGCATCCAACGCGGCCTGTCAGTCGTCGAAGTATCTGATGGTACCCTGAGGCGCTCGCTACCATCCACCCCAGGTCGGTAGGATGCATCCGACCGCCAGTGTTCCATATACGACCTGTGGATATGTCATCCTCTGGCAACGCCACCAATATCGGTTTAGATGTGACTGCTGCTGTGTTCTGCTTCGGCAGGTACACATCTTGTCGGTCGAAAGCCAAACGCAACCGCTACAGACGCCGCATCCCTCACAGGAGCATCCTCCAGAACAGCGTGAGATAAATTATGCTACCGTGCCGTGCTAGCTGCAGGCCACGGTTGCAACGTCCTCGGCAAGCAGCGCTGATCCAGCTCAGCGATTTCTTTTCACCCTGACCCGTCACTCTTCAGGCCGCAAACAGCGGCACATGCAACTTGAAAGCTCCATGTGACCAGTGATGCTATCCAAGGCATGGGCCAAGAAGGATGTCACGCAATTTCAACCTGCTACTGGGCTGTTGTTTACCGGCCGACAGACTTTGGCAAACACACATACTGCTTCGCGCCACTTGACATGTGGTTCCGCGTTGAGCCCCTTTTTTGACTCAGTCGCTGTCGCCCACCCCTAGGTTTAGCTTTCGCTGCGCACGTCTTTGCCGATGTTCCGTGGGCTCAGACCACCTAGCAGCGGGAGTCGGTAGACTTGGTGTCATTCAGAACAGCGTTTCGTGACAGCCTGTATCGACCAAATACGTTTAGGACTGCGTGTCAATATCGAACATCGCAAGGTGTATCATGTTGCCGTGGTCTCTCCTCAAGCCGGTTGTTTGCAATAGTTTTCCGACCATTCATCGCACAGCAATAGCACTGGCTGTCTTGCCATGTGTCCTCGTCGACTTTGGACCCCCACCTACTTCGACATCTTCGAGTCTGTCGGACGAGCATAGATTAACAACAGACGGTCAACAGTCAACGAGTGTCGGTTTCTCAAAAGTTCAAACTTGTTTAAAGCAAGCTGGGCACCAAAAAGATTCATTCGTATTTACAAGCTACGCCATTGATCTAACATGGTCTCAAGGCAACGAGGCTGTGTTGCCAGAGTGGATAAAGAAGGGCACCACCGAGTTCTGATGCCTTGAAGCGTCTATGGCTCCAACCCCCCCCCCCCCCCCCCCACCCCTTCCTAGTGCATAGCTTCCTCCTATTAAATATCTAAAAGTATAGCAGCAACATTTCCCACTCGACCAGCCATATCACAGGCCTGCGCTTTACAAGCGTCGTCGTAAAGCTTGCCAACAGCTTTTGACATAGCTCCGTGGCTGAAGGTCTTCCCGACGCTTTAGCATCGCATTTCGATTCCATTTCTCCATCTTTCGATCTTCCCGTTGATTCAACGTGAAACTAGTCTTTTCCAAACTGTCGAACTGTTTAACGTCTAGGAAGCCCTCTACGAAGAAGACCAGAAGCACACGATTGACAGTGGGCAGAACATGTGCCGACCTTGACTCTCGACCCTATGACCACCCGAACTTTCCAACCCATACGATATTAACCTCGAGCTTACAATGAAGATCAAGAGAAGCCTTCGACTGTTTAAACAGGCCACGAAAACACTTCCTGACTCTAGCCAAGTCTTCCCACCGACCGCCTTGGTGAAACAGGGGTAGCAGAACCATCGTCGAAACCTTACAACCCACAGGTCTCTGGCCTTCTCAACTGTTCCCAAGGCTCGTTTCAACATCATAGCCGGAACTTTCGTGAAGTTGTATGCTGAAGTCCTTTCAGTTCCCCAGCTTGGCATATCAGCTGTGCGAGTATATCACCCTCCAACTTTGGTCATACCTGAGTGCTGGCATCAGGCTTGTGCAACATATTTCATGCTTGCAGGTCATTCTGACTCTAGCCTCGAACCTACACGCATGTCACTATCTCGAATGGACAGTCTTTGAAAGGTCTTCGGACATGAGCCGCAGTCGACCCTTTCTGAGCTTGACTAATCACGAGTAGATGTGAATCTTATACTACCACAAGGCCGGTCCCTATCACATACGACCATACCTACTGGAGAATTCGGGATCCCGTCCGCTCTCCCATAGACAAGCCAGTAAGGGTCGGACTAGTAGTTGGGTGGGTGACCACCAGCGAATCCCTGATGTTGTATGTTTTTGACATTTTGCTTGCCTTTGTCGTATATAGCAATGTTGGGGTGCAACGGAATTCGACAACGAGTCGTTTGACCATGCAAAAAGTGCAGATCATTGCTGTGCCACTAGGTGCTAAGTGTTATCACACATCTTCGACATAGTAGCGTAAACTAACCCCAAAGTTGGTTGTCGTCACGCAATTCCGGAATCATTTGCCTAAAAGACATTTGCGAATAAGGTTCCTGGAGCTCTGCTAGATTCCCGTATACCCGTGTGCCTTTGATCTGGTCGTGCCCCCACCCAATTCGTGCAATCTCTTCTATCTGGGCCGTGGAGGGCAACGAAACAAGTTTGAGGTGATTTTTCCACCGACAGCATCATCAAGAAACGAGCTAGAACTTCCATGGGAAATGCTCCAATACACATTGCATTCACCGACGGAAGATTGTGGGTTGGCATGTTGTGATGGGAGGACCTCCGCGCTCTAAGCTCGACCTAAGCACGTGGCAGCGGGGAAAGCTCGTTCTGACACGGGCTTGGACGTGAACAACAATGAGATCGTATGAAACGAAGCAATCGTCTGGCCTCATCTGATTTGCTATCTACCACTAATCATACCGGACCGTAAACGTCTTGGTCTGCAAAATAGCCTTCTCGCTATTGTTGTCTGGTTGTACGTCGCCGCCACCATCGACACTGATCTGATGCACATTGTTGGGGCTTTTGTTGTCTTCGTCCCTGTCCATTGACCTGAACACTTGCATCTCGTTATCTTCGTACCGGTCATATTGGCTGCGCACCTTGCGCGAGAACGCATTGGGTGCAGAGTTCATTTCCTTGTTCGCATATCCCGAAGCATAATTCGGTCCAGACATGTTGGTCGAGGAGGCTCCCATAAGCTTGGGGGCGAAGTGCTTGAAGAACTTGCGGAGGGTCGGCATCGATCCGCAGATGATGAAGAGGTTGGCTTCGATGAGACTTTTGCCGCACGTGTCAGTAAGAATGGTCCACCGCGATTGTGCGCAAGCAGTCCAGGGGTATGACTTACGACCAGATGTTAGCACGAGCAGCGTCCCAGGTAAGGTCCTGGGTGGCCAGAACGTCCAGAAGGAAAACTAGTCGGACGATTGATGTTCCCACCGTCATGGAGCCAATGGCGAAAATGACAATGGCGCCGATCTTGGGGAAGATTCCCATGCGGAGGCGGACGACCATCGGAATGGGCAACACGAAGAGAAGTATGTCGGTGACGATGTTGGAAACGGCCGTAGCAATGTAGAGAATGCCGACATTGATGCAGCTTCCCCCTACCATCAAGACATCATAGGCTTTAGACACTGGCGTACAGTGGACAAACAACATGACAGTAATGATAAGTGTGTACAGTGCCACAACGACGATGCTGGTCCAGACGGCAATGCGCCACCATCTTTGAGGCGAAAGGTGGAGATAGAAAGTCAGAAGCGATAACTTCGTGAATCCGTTACAGAGCATAAAGACGCCAGCGGTCACGTATGTGATCTGTTACGCAGAAAAGTTAGCTGTCTGTTGCTGCGAGACATTGATGTGCTGTGGATGGCCAGCACTTACCAGCGTCGAAGTCTTGTATGTTTCCAGAGGAACCTCCCACATGTGACACCCGAGAGCTTTCATCGCTACGGTATCTATTGAGGCCCGTCAATTTGACTGTGCTTGCGGACTGGTAAAACGTCATGTTTTGCTTGTACTTACGGACCATGCCGGCCTGTGTTGCCACTGACGATACCTGATGGATTGGTCAACCTTCAGTACTCATTCTGATCAGAAAGGATGGCAACCGACCCATGCAAGGAACATGAATGCTGATTGAAAAAACGAGTCAGCAAACCAAACGTTGCAACAGGAGAATCATTGGATTTACCATCGTCAATTTGGAGGCCCTTTGCTAGGAAGATCTTCGTATAGAACCTCTGCATCAGGGCAATGAAGGCCAGTGGCCCCATTATGCCGAAGATCAAGTAGTGCTCCATCACATACTGCCGCTGCGGGTTATCAAAGTCCACCACGTACCCCGGCGGTGCGGGAACTAGGACCTCGACGCCGTTGACTACCGGAATTCCGGACATGTTGATGGTCGATTTGAAGTTTGAACGAGTCAAGCAAGCCGTCGATCAGCAGCAGGACTGGAAAACGGAACCACAACCAGATCACTTGCAGAGGGGTGATGGTTCAAAGCTGGTCTACTTACATACTCTCCTTTGCATCAAAGTGCACATGACGGCAAGGGATCTCGTCACCGGAAAGTACCCATCTGCTTAGCGGCAGACAGGGACCAAGGTTGTGGGTGCCGGCCTTTTGGCTCAAAGTCCCGCACTCCGGGGCGTTGAGATGGAACAGAGCCTAGTGACAGGTGATTGCCACCAGATACCAGAGCCAATCGGTGAATGACTAGACGGTGGAGGCATCACATGAATCTAAAAGGCTCTAGCCTTCAGGTGGGGGGCTGTATCGGATCATCAGATGGACATCGACAGGGGGAATCGTGGACAAAGCCCAATGGTTTTGCCATGATGCTGCCTACACGACATGGTACAGCATCCCAGAATCGGCACCAGACTTCCCTGAAGCTGCTGGGTCAGACGGAGCTCTCGAAGAAGTTTGGAAGGATGCATCAGTCCCTGCAAGCTTGATCCGCATCTGCTGCAGGCTGAAAGGGGGCCAAATGGTTAGTAAAATGTACCTTGCTCCTCTGTAACAGGGCCAGAAGGCCAAGTGAATCCTTCGCTCGGAATGGAGTACCCCGTGGAGTCCGAACTATCTATCCCTGGTAATCCCTGTGAAGCTCATTGTCAACGCCGGGCTTTCATGAGCGAGTGGCTAAGCGGCAGTTAGGATTGACTTGGCATATCCGCGCCAACCGCTCAACACGAGACGAAATTTGGGCCGTGTCCGATGTCGAGCTAGAGAATCATGTCTCGGGGTACAATGTTAGTTCCCTCTGCTCAACTGAGCTAGACCTTTTAGGTGGATGAACAAGATATCCTCAGACAACCATAGTCCTCTCTGACGGAACTTCTTTACGAGTCCGACAAGCTTCCCATATGCATCCTTATCGTGCGCTCAAGCACAAATCAGAAACCCAGGGATCTTGAAAAGGCACTCGAACGAGAGTCGGTGATGAGACTGTTAAGGCGTTGCAGGGACTTGCTGGGGACAACCCGGTTGAAAGACGCATGGTGTGTGAAGGGCGACTTGGCACTCCCAAAGCGGGGAATCTGATGGGGGAGGTCGGTGGTAAGTTGGCCCGAGGTTGGCAGATGAAAGGGGATTTGATGCGCTGACTGCAGATATCCTGCGTACTTGGTAGATGTGTTGACAGGGGCGGCAGACAGGTTGCATTTCCAATCGGTCGGGAGCCCGGTAATCTGGTCGTCGGGGCACCAACTTCATGCAAGCAAGTCTTATGGTGTCAGCCGTTGTGTCGGTCGTTAAGTTTTCTTGTTCCGGCGCGAGTCAATTCATCGCACGGATCTCGGGTGCCAGGATATGTGAGCAGAGCGAACTGCTCCGCTCTCCGTGATTATGGCTGTGCGTCAAACTACCGATCACGATTAATCCGCTCAGGTCAGTGCCCTAGTTTCCCGGGGGACGAATCCGACCCCTGAGCACTGGAGACCTTCGAAGCCACTGGCATTCCCGTCCTGCGGCCCGCGACGGTGGCCGCTTCTAGTAATAATCAGGCTTATCACTAGTGGCGGGACTACTCTAGTTGCTGCCCTTGAGGTTACGTTACCCCGACTGGAATAGCGACAAGAGAACCATCACTCTCCTGGCGGCATAGTCTGCATAAATTTCGTCTGCTCTTCAATCTTTACCTGCACCAACAACAGTCACTGTTGATTGAGCCCGAAGCTTAATCGAAAAGCTAGGACTGCTCGTCGTTCTTGGTTTAAGCCGCGAATGAGAAAAAGATTGACCCCTAGTCGGGGATGACTGAGGGACCCAAAACAAACCGGTTATCTTTCCTCTTCTTGGTAAGCCTAAGGACAGGGTAGGCCACTGCTCGCGACGATCTTGTGATCCTTCGGCGCGGTGCTCTGCCACATAATCCGCGTTGAGCGGCAGCATTTACCCCCCCTCCGCCCGTCAGTGTAGTGTACATGTGTACTCTGATTGAGCATGACTATTCGACTGATTTAGTTCCTCGAGTCGTGTTCAGAGACTCGGAATTAGATTAATGCTGCTCGACGTATGCTTATGTTCAAGCTTCGCTCTAGCCTGTGGTAAGGTGGTAAATGATGCAAAACTCGATCCGTGGCATCCCAGGAGATAGCGGAGCCCCAAGGATGCTGATCCCGGTTGCACGGCAAAAGTCACAAGGCCGACAATAACCCAAGTCCAACACTTTGCCAGATCCCGTCTCAGTGCCCCGTGCCTCGGCCGGACTTCCTGACTCGCGAGTCCGAAGACCCCTGTCGAGGGGCTTCGTTGTCCAGAAAGGGATTTTAGCGCGTCAAATTGTCGATACTTTCTGCTCACGTCTCATACCAAGGCCAGGCTATCAAGGAGATGTCCGGAGAAAACTCCGGAACACGACTTCATGCAGGTCCGGATCAACTAGAGCCCATCAGAGGGAGATTAGTGGATGCTCTACCGAACGCGTAATTACAGCTGCAAAAGATATAACGTCCTAGCCATGCATGTCATGTTGCTCGTAATTAATTTTTAAAAGTCTTGCCCATCTCCAAGACCGCTTTGTCTCACCATACCCTGTTTTCCACGTGACGATTGTCTGCGTTCAAAGGTGGAAGGATTGCCTTTGCCAGCTTCTCAACCCAGCCGCCACGCGACAATACGGAGTATTTCCACCTGGCCGACCACAGAGTAGTCCACCATGAAGATCTCTGCCGCGGCCATCATCTCGGCGCTGGCTCTCGAGGGAGCTTCAGCCGCTTCTGTCAACGGCCCCCGATGCCACTGCGTATGACGGATCCACGTCCGGCTGGTCCACACCAGCAGAACTTTGTTCGCATCATTTTGCTGACTCTAGTACCAGTGCACTGCTCTCTCCAAGACAGAAGGGCTTGAGGGTAAGGTATGGTCACCAGATGAGCAGCGCTACGATGAGCGCCTGACTCAATACTACTCTGCGAACGCCGCCCAAGCTCCCTGGTGCATGGTCTTTCCGGAGTCTGCCGAGGATGTGTCCAAGATCGTCAAGGTTTTCAACCAGCATCAATGCCCATTCGGCATGCGTTCCGGTGCCCACTCGGCATTCAAGGGTGCCAATGGCATCAAGGATGGTGTCACTGTTGATTTTGGTATGTCTTCCTTCTGTTGAGACTTGGTCCTGGCCACCCTTCTGATCTCAGTTCTTGTGTAGGTAACCTGAGCTCTACCACATACGATAAAGCCACCGAGATCGCCTCAGTGGGGCCTGGATCAGACTGGGGCAAAGTGTACAAGACCCTGGCAACAGAGAATGTTGTCGGCGTAGGCGGTCGCGCTGATGTCGTCGGTGTTGGCGGCTTTACCACTGGTGGCGGCTACTCCTTCCACACTGGTGTTCGAGGCTTCGCCTGTGACAACGTGGAGAACTTTGAGGTCGTCGTCGGCGATGGCTCAATCGTCAATGCCAATGCCAAGGAGAACACCGATCTGTGGAAGGCTCTCAAAGGTGGCTCTGGAAACTTCGGCTTCGTCACGAGGCTGGATATCAAGGTCTGGCCCTCGGCCCAGATCTACGCCAGCCTCAACGGCTACGCCCAAGAGCACCGATTCGAGGCTATGAAGGCGTATTACAACTTTGTTCTTGTACAGGACTTGGAGCCCGAGAGCCAGGTGATCTACGCTCAGACGTACGACAAGACTGGCTACGGTGTCGGTGGCATTCTCAGCAACATCAACGCCAATATCTCTTCGGCCTTTGATGAGTTCCTCGCCATTGAAGCTCTCTACACCATCCCTGTCACTGGCCCCGCCCATGAGGTTGTGCCTGTCTTCACTGGCCCCACGCCTCTGGGTCTTTTCGCCAACTGGCAGACCGGCATGGTCGCTCACGACGAAAACATGATGAAGACCATGGACGAGATCTTCCACGCTCACATCGACAAGATGAAGGCTGCAGCCCCTGATGCTGACTTTGAGATGATCTTCCAGTGGCAGCCTGTCACTCAGGGTATTGTCAACGTCATGGAGAAGCGCGGCGGTAACTCCCTCGGTCTCGAGCACGTTGTCAAGGACGGTCCTGTCATCATGTACAACATTGTGTTCACTGTCGACACTGCTGCCAACCAGGAGATCGTTCTTCCCATCGCCCTCGAGATGAACAAGGCTATTCAGTCTGCTGCTGACGGTCTCGGCCTCAACAAGCACTGGCAATTCCTCAACTACGCCCACTCCAGCCAGGACCCCATCTCTCACTACGGCGCCGAGAACATTGCTCACATGAAGGCGGTGTCCTCCAAGTACGACCCCAATCAAGTGTTTCAGAAGCTGCGCCAGACTGGCTTCCACCTCCCTGCATAGGCGAGTTTGAGGAGCGGTGGCCCTGCTTAAAAGAGTGTGTACATGACCATATTTTTCATGTTGTAATTGAATTGGCGGGCATAACAACGCATTGCGACAAATAGACGCGACTTCCGGTGGCTAAATTCCCGAATGTAATAAAGCACCCAATGTCCAAATACTAAACAAAATTTCGAGAAGATCAGGTTGGAAGCAATAGGTTCAGCATGCCTTGCTTCTGATGAACATTGGAAACGCTCCTTCCAGCATCTTGCCACAGAGACTTTGAAGAACAATGATGCTACCGATGCGCATGTCCCCAAATGATATCAATTGCCGTTCACAGACACCGCTTAAAACCACGCTCGCTTCCTGTTCTTGGGCTCGGGAGGGTACACCACAATTCTGTCGAGATCGGCGCCCTTGTAGTCGAACCCATTGTATAAGCCTCCGATGGTGATCTTGTTACGGCCCTTCTTTAGAGGCAGCTGTAGGGGTGTCGAAAGAATGATTCCTTTATGAGTGTCCTTCTGGTACAGAGTGTGGACGTGGTCGGTATCATCGTTGAGAACAACACTGCTGATGCGGCGCAGTTGCCACGTGCCATTAATGCGATCGGGCTGTCCGTAAGGTTGGTCACCGAAGCCCATGTCATCGGTATCTGTAGACAGAGAATGTTATCAGCAGTGGGAACTTGTGGTTGGGGTATTGAGCGACTACAGACTTTGATGGTAGAAAGAGACCCACCGGTCTTGGCCTTGACCGTCAACCTCGAATGTTATCATGCTGTCATTGCCATAAATACCAGTAGCGATCACATTATGGCTTCCAAATGACTGAAGAAGTCCCATTAGCGAACGACTTAATTGCCGGGAGGGGTTGACTTACGGCCTCCTGTAGGAACGCGTCTCCAGCAAGCTTTGCACGCTTGGAGGTGTAGGTCTTGCCCTTGATGGGATACCACTCGCCAGTTTGCCTGTGAAACAGTCAGAGACATCGTTTCTTTCTGAAGTTGTCACACTAGGTACTAGGACTTACACATCTAGATCATAGATGTCATGTCAGATAACACGGCGACTTCCGTCACGTCGTTTATTTCAATTGGGAGCCAGACATTCCGGCTCTCCCAGAGATACAGCATGTCCCACTGGTCAGCCATGTAGAGGTATGTAGTCTTCTTTGAGCCCTTGATCCTCCAAGAGAAGCCGGACTGGGTCCTGAAGGTACGAGTGTAGGCTGGAGATACGATAAACGGCTGCGACCAAGGACCCTCAAGTTTGTCGGCGCGCATCCCGACAACATCTAAGCGAATGTAAGTCAGGTGTCTGAGCAGGGACATGAGTATTGAAGGTGGGGTTTCTCACTGTTAGGGCGGTAGCCTGTCTTGTGGCTCATCAAGGCGAAGTAGCTCTTTTCTGTCTGCAGAATCGTCGGGGCCTCAAAGTCGTATTTGTTGAAGCGGAAAGTTACCTCCTCGACATCAGTCAGGTTGCTGTTGAACTTGCTGACATAGACATCGCGGCCCTCGACCCTGTCTCCGTTTGAGTACAACTATGATTCCCCCGATTTTTAATCCGTGAAGGCACCAAAATCTTGAGACCAGTTGCCGAGAGGTGCGATGGCATCTTGGAAAATGTATGGGCCAGCAATGCTATCAGCTGTGGCTAGGCCCTGGAGCAGCATGCTATATTTGGAGTCGACGACGTGCCACCACATCTAGAAACCCCTGATCAGTATGATTCGTCTTCAGGGTCCGTTTGAACTTTCTGAATGTTCATCTTACATGGTACTTGCCCGTCTCCTTGCTGTAAATAACCTTGGGACGCTGGATGCGGTTGTGCGAGGAGACATACTCGTGGCCTTCTACTGGTTCCGTATCCACAAATAATCAGTCAGTCATGCCAACGACTCGAGATAATAGAGTTGAATCAAAGTACCGAGTGCGAGGCCGTGTGACTCCCATGTCGCAAGATCATCGGAGCTGTAGACAGAAATGCCACCACCTTCGACTTGGCCCTGAATCTTGTACTCCCCGAACCAGCAGAATCTGCCTGTCTTTTCGTCCACGCAAAGACCTCCAGCGTGAGCGTTGAAAATGTTGCCATCTGTGTCAAGCCAGCGGGCGCCCGGCACAATCCATTTGGCTGAGGCAACGCTCGCAGTTCCGAGCAGCAGTGCAAAGGTTTGGGAAAGAAGCATTGTTAGTCAAGATGCTGAGCCGACTGCAACGAGACCGAATTGAAGAGTACGATAAGCGATTTGAATAAAGATTAATTTCGAGATTAGTGCCTGATCGCGGGGCCTTTTTGGATGTTTTTCTTTGGCGCAAAAGCATTGGTAGGCTCTGTGATCACCAGCGGTGATCTCCTGTGCCATCATCGGGATTGTATTGAATCTCAGAACCACGTCGGAACATCGAAAAGCGAGGGCCTGACAGTGTGCCAGTATAATGTTTAGGATAATCGTACTGCGCAATATCTAAACCCGAAGCTGGACCGCTCAGACTACGTCATCAGTATCGCCCTCGTTGCAGCATGGGCACGAATTGCCGTCGACTTTATAATTTAATCCACCAATTGTCCTTGCACAGTGCTCGATCAGTCAAAAGATGCTTCTCCGTAAAGCAAGTGTCTACATTTGCGCAAACTCGATATACCTTTGAACCCCGCACGACGTTGACTGTGGTCGCCGTCGAACCATAGCTATGCCACACAGGTCGTGTCTTCCACAACATCCCCGCAAAACGTGAGATTATACTTTCGGGGAAGTAGTGGCCGATGTAGGCGGCTAGGGGGCCATATTCAATATCGCCCGATTTGGAACATGGGTCCGGCAGGCAAATGGCTCGGACTAAGGAAGCCTATTCGTTTTCCGTTTGCCCTTTCGCCCGAGCGCTGTCGATCTTTTGATAGAAGGTCGACGCTGATGGTTGGTTTTCGCTGAATATCGATCATGCTTTTCGGCATTTTTCGGCTACAGATCACGAACATCATCAGTGCTGTCCTTGTTCTGCACACTTGATATTTTCCGTCCACAGAAGAATAATGTTGTGGCAGGATTGACATGCTGAGGGGCGCATATGTACGACGCGATGATATCTTCATGTTAAGAAGGGTGGTTTTGAAATGCTCTCAAAGAGACTAGATTTTATACTGCATAGGCAAACTCTCTTTCACAATGAGAATCAGCCTAGTTCGCGTTAGCATCATCGTGATGCACGCCTTGAGCGTTGCGGCGGACTGGACAGACTTCGGCGCCCACGAGAAGCCGGTTTCTTGTCCCCGCCGAGGTACGAAATGCAAGCATCGATGCGTCATTGCTGCAAACAACAATGGAACCGACGATTCTCCAGCCATCATTCAGGGCTTTGAGAAGTGTCGCGAAAACTCTGTAATTGTGTTTCAAAACACAACTTAAAACATTGAAAAAGCAATGTCGTTCAAGCACCTTGACAACGTCAGGATCGAGATAAAGGGTACTCTTCTCGTAAGTCTCAACTATGTCGTGACATCAAGGGGTTTCTGACCGAACGATGCGTCTATAGTGGAGCAAGGATATCCAGTACTGGCTCAAGAACTCACTGCCAATCGGTCCCGGTGTTGACCAGGAATCCTATCCACCAGCCGCCTACCAGAACCAGACCACTGCCATGATTCTTGGTGGCAAGAGGCTTCATGTCGAGGGCTATGGCCATGGCACCTTTGACGGTAACGGTCAGACCTGGTATGATTTCGTGCGCGGAGAGTCAAACTACCCTAGTAAGTAAAACTCTCAAACGCTCAAGCCAAACTTCTCCTCACGACATTTGCGTCCTCACGACATTTGCGTTCCAGACCGACCGCACGCCCTTGTCGTCACTGCTGAAGACTCGTACTTTCACGGCCTTCGTTTCGTGCAGCCTCAAATGTGGTATGCAACGAGCTATTCTCCCTGGCGAACAAATGATTTGCTAATCTTGCAGGACTGTCACCGTCGTTGGCTCCAAGAGAGTATTACTGGAAGACATCTACGTCAATGCAACTAGCAGTAACAGAAATCCTGCAAGGAACACCGACGGTGCCAACACAATGTTCTCAGACCGTATCACGTTCCGACGCTGGACCATTCAGAACGGTAATGATTGCATTGCGGCCAAAGCCAATTCAACCAACATCATCATTGAAGATTCGACATTTCACGACGGCCAAGGCGTTGCTATCGGCAGCATTGGGCAGTACTATGGCCGCTTTGAGACCGTCGAGAACGCGACGGCTCGCAATATTGTGGCATACGGGTCACGCTATCTGGGTCGGATCAAGACCTGGACTGGTGAACAGAACGATTGGCCGCCGAACGGCGGCGGCGGTGGTATTGGCTGTGAGTCTTCTTCCCTTGACTGATGAATCTTAGTCACGACTCAATCTGGATGTAGACGTGAAGAACATCAACTGGGACAACGTGACGATCCACGACGGCTCGCGGGCGCCATTCGTCATTAACCAGTGCTACACGAATGTCGATCAAGCCAACTGCAGCACATCCACCTTTGACATCTCCGACATTTCCTACAAGAACGTACAGGGCTCAATTCGATCTGCGCACGTTGCCGAATTTCAATGCAGCAGATCCCACGGTGGTTGCGACCGGATTGTTTTCGAGAATGTCCAGTTGGAAAACATTGCCGTGGACCCTCCCGTAGCCGCCAGTCAATACAAGTGCAGCAACGTGAATGAGCCTGACGGGTTCAAGTGTGGCTGAAGTGCGTCGGAGCACAGGTCTTCATCACTTGCAGGCTAGAAATTTTGGCTTGCACGCCTGGTCCCGCAGGCGGCTAGAACTCTTCGGTGAGGGGGATGACAACGGGAGAAAGTCCTCTTTTCTACATACCATTCTGATTACCTATCTGGAATACAGCAGGTTAATGTCTGCTGGATTCACTCAGCTTGTTCAAGCAAGACCATCTACTATATAAAGCCTTGTTCTTCAGAACTATCATGTTGTAGCAGTCCAAGCTGTAGATATAGCTTTTTTCACGACAGGACGGGCTCTTCAAGCTCCGCTGCCATTGTAGAGAAGGAAATTGGGAACTCCTCGCGGGTCACTGATCAGATCCTTTGTAGCCAGCTCAAGAAGCCTGGTCTTGATCTGCGCTGGCGTTCGAGGACCCTCCAAAGCCAGCAAGTAGGCAATGACACCAGCAACATATGGTGCGGCCTCAGAGGTTCCCGAATGGCGGATTGTAGATGTAGGGGATTTGACATCCGCAGTCAAGATATCCTCACCAGGCGCGAAGATGTCAGCCGTTGGGCCCCAGTTCGACGCAGCCCAACGGCGGTAATTGATGTTGCTAGCGGCGACGGTGATGGCGTCTGGCAGGTTGGCCGGAGACCAGTCCGCCGAATCAGAATTGGAGTTCCCCGCTGAGACGGCAACTGGAATGCCAGCGTCAATCGCAGCTTGCACAGCACTATTGACTGCGGGGGAGTTGGTCGAAAGCATCGAGATGTTGATGACCGACTTTCCAACCCGCCCCTTCGATACAATGTCATTGGCGGTCCAGGCAACGCCATCGATAAGCCAACTAAGCGACCCTCCATTCGTGCCCGACGCCTTGACTCCGATGAGGGAGGTCCGTTTGGCGACACCATGTACCTTGCCGCCGATGACGGCGGCAATAGCAGTACCATGAGCGTCGTCAGTTACAGCGTTCTCCGCGCCAGCAGCAACATAACCGAGACTAGCACGGCCTTCAAAGTCGACGTGATCGGTGTAGATGCCACTGTCAAGGAAATACGAGAATGTTCCTTGGCCGGCACTCCGGTGGAAGATGTAGCTTGAGTTGGACGAGGGTGGGTTGGCGCGAGAGATAGCTGACAGACCCCAAGGCGGGTTCTCCTGCTCCTCAAGCGGCGTTGAAGAGGTCAAGGCAAAGAAGCTGTCGGGCTCAACGGATGAAACCTGTTTTATGTTAGATGCAACTCGTCGTAAGTTCCTCTTGCATCTCGACCATGTGGAAGGCTTGGCTACGGAGTTTTGTCCTTACGTTGACATTGGCCCTGATGGCTTCGAGGGTGTCATCATCAAAGGATCCTGCATATCCTGCAAAGTCGTTGAAGCTAAAAGTAGAGCTCAAGCCTGAGGTTATATCTCCGCGGCGCCGCAGGTTTCGGGCATGGATGTCAGCTACCCATCGAGCATGAAGGTCGAGATCGACGGCTGCATGAGGTTTGAGGGTGACAACATATCGGCCAGCAGCTGCAACGGCATCCGTATCGAGGGGCGCACTTAAGACGCCTAACGATGCTGAGGCAAGCAGGGTTAGAAGGAATTGGTGTGAAGTAAGCATTTTCATTGATTATGGAGCATAATGAAATGAAAAGTGCGTGGTTGTCTCTCCACCTGATCAGGAGGCTTCTTATATTTCTCGTCGGGTCAGGACGACTTTCCCCGTCTGACAATGCTGAACCCGGGGCGGGGTTGTAAACTGATGCTACTGAACCAACGGATAAGACGTGCTACAAAATTTCCATTTCAGGAAGCTCACAAGCAACCTTCCAAGGGTGATTTCCACGATGGGAAAGTCTTGGCCGTTGGCACGTCGCGGCAGAGTCGTTTTTGAGTGCCGGCCGACAGGGATCGGCGTTTTGGGTGGGCCTCCCGACTCGGCAGATCGATGGCCATGGAGCATTGAAAGCGAAAGCGACGCAGGTTAGCCAGCGAGAATGCAGTCTGATTTTTTCTTTGTTTACCGAATGAAAGGTAGTCGTCCTGGGCGGTTGGAAATATTGCCAAGATTTGCGAAATAGCAAAGAGGCAGTTCGCGGGCGGTGGCCTTCATGATCAGGTAGTTGCAGATCAACCGCGGCGATACTACCTTACCCCCTGAAGTGCCTTGACCAGCAGCTTAACTGACTCAGGACTTGCGTATACGACCCATCCAGACTTCCGCGCGTGGGGTATCTGAGGCCCCTAGCCCCCTACTAGCACAGCTCGTCACACCTGTCTTTCTGACGTATCGACAAGGCGAGCCTGATAACGCGACCCAATATTGGAAGGGATATGTTTCGTATATCATGCGTGCTTGTGTGATGTACTACTGCGAAGCGCCAAGACATTTTCACTTGGCACTGAAGTTGGCCGACTTTGAACTTTCGGCTGGAATGCTCTGAGGACGGTGCACTCACTACTTTAGGAAATCCATCTCCAGGAGGGGTTCGACCGATGGGTTATTCAGGTGGCGGTGCAACCTCAAGATTCGGCGCATGGCGAAGCTCTATACCGAGCGATTCGTGTCTCCCGAAGCATTCGCCTAGATCAATACGGCCATGCATTCAAACAGACTTGAAGGAATGAGCAATCCAATAACATGACTGGACAAGCAGGGGTATCAATTTGGTCTCAATTCAGCCCCTGATGGGGAAGTATCAAAGACACACCAAAGGCAGCATCGAGATGATGGAGAACTCATTGATAGCCATTAATTTGTGTTGCTTCTGCATGCTTGACTTGTGCATCACTAGTTATAGTGAACGTCTTCGTCATAGGTCCCCTGCGCGGGCCCTAATAAGGTTTTCGTGCTTCATCTCAGTACAGGGATTTACATGCGCCTTCAAACTTGAGATCGGATCTCTTGCGATATGACTTGCTACGGCTGCCCCACAGTGCAAGAAGAGCAACCATTGGCGCCCTGGGTATCTGTCAGAACCCTTGACCGGCCATGGGACGGCTGTGGGACACCAGCTGTCTGTCAAAGGGTCATGGAGCAGAAGGGAGGGGACCGAGGGTCGTGAAGAACTACCTTATATATATAAAGAACCAGCATTCCATACTGAGAGGAGGAGGGCTTCGATTATCCCACTTGGTTAGAGACCCCCAAGAGACCAACAGTCGCCGTTCTTCACTCGTTGCAAGAACTCCTTGACGGTATCACCACTTCTGCAGATCTCGCAGTCATGTCACATCCAAGCCAGAACAAGCCACAAGCGCGCCAGGAAAACACGCATCAACAGGAGATTCATTCCTGTCAAGACATCCGAATCATGAGCTTCTTATTGTTGGCTATGATACCGAGAAATGTCGACGAGAAGGCGAGAGCCGCGCACTCCGCAACAGCCCTCACCCCCGCTGTTTCGTGCAGGATGGGTGGGCAGAAACACACCGCTTATCCCACAATGCTAGGAATGCCAGGTTCTCTCCGGCCCAAAGGTGATGTTATCCTTCTTCTCCGCAAAAAGTGAAAATGCCGCCCCCTCACTTCCTCTCTATGACAGACTTCTTCTTCTCCAGCTGAAGCTTGTCTAGTAGCACTGGGAGTAGTACTGGTTGACGACGTTGCACTTGTAGGGGGCGACGCAGGTGGTGGGGCCGGTGTGGCCGGCGCCGCCGCACTGCGCCCACTGGGCGGCGCCGCCGGTGCGGGGGGCGCGGCGGTGGTGGCGGGAGGGGGAACGGCAGTCGTGGCGGGAGGAGGCTGGGTGGGGGGAGCGGCGGTGGTGGCAGGGGGAGGTGTGGTGGGAGGAGGGCTGGAGCCTGTGGGAGATGGCAAAGATCAGCGTCTTGTTCTTTTGGTTCTGGTCGTTTGTCCAGGGAGAGGTGTTCTCGGGCTTGTAAAAAAATGTGACTTACCGCCGCCGGAGCAGGTGAAGGGACGGGGACCGGGGATGATGTAGTTGGTCACGGGGGGGTAGTAGATGCTCAGCTGGACTCCGGGGTCGGTGCCCTTGTAGGCGCCGGGGAAGCTGACAGTGGCCGGGTTGGCCGTGCCGGTGCCGCCAACAACGTTGATCTGAGCGCACTCCATCTGCGAGAGAGAGAAAAGAAAAGTCAGCAAAAGTTCGCTCACACACACACTCCGGCGTGCCCGAAGAGCTTGGGGGGGGGGGGTTCACTTACGTAGAACTGAGCACCGGGGTAGCTGCCGGCGCCGTGCAGGGCGATCATCTCGGCGCGGAGGAGATACTGGCCGGGAGCGATGCACTCGGGGATGCGGATGGTGTGCTTGCCCTGGCCGTTGATGACCTTCTCGGTACCCCAGACGCCATTGGTGAAGCCGTCCTCCTGGATCTTGAACCAGCCGTCACCGATGCCGCTGTCGGAGGTGGCGCTGGACACCTTCTTCAGGTAGGCCAGCGTTGGGCCCTTGTGGGTGCTGTCCATAATGTCGGCGGGTCCGGTGCCGGTGGTGCTGAGCATGTAGCGCCACAGGGCGGTGACGTCCTGGCCGGCCTGGACGGTGTGGATGACGCTGGTGGGAGAGGTAGGGTTAGGGGCGCCGTTGCAGGCCATCGAGTTGGAGGTGACGTCCTCGATGGGGCCGTTGTACGACGGGATGCGGACGCCGACGCCCTGGCCGTGGACCGTGGAGCCAACCTGGAGGTTGGTGAAGATGGTGTGGGCGCTGGCAACGCCGGCCATCATCAGAGGCTGGAGGACCTTCATGGTGGTGACGGAAAGGGGGATGAGACGAGAGTCAGTGTGTGGCCTTGTATTGTCTGACAACCTAGGACGATCGGCGAGAAGGATGAGGTGCTCAGGCTTAATCTGAGATCAACATTTGTGGCCGTGGCCGATCGTCTTTATAGCATGAATGTCTTCGATCGTGTCTCCTGTGCAACACGAACGCATCGGCGTTCGTTCCGAGGCCGTTCGCCCAGACTAAAGTCACACTATCCGCACAGCAACTGCGTTGAAGCCGAATGAAGTCGCGGACAACTGGCACCGCGCCCTGGAAGCGGCGCTTGTCGTTGTTTCAAACTCCA